AATGCTCCTCCAAAGTATCTAATTGCTTTTTATTTACTTAATTAAGAAAGACACCAATGGATTCTTCCAAGAACAGAGGTCTTCAAGGTGATCATCTGTTCCTGCCTTTAAAGAGAAGCAATGGCAGTTTAATTCAATAAAATAATTAATCTTTGTCCATGCCCCTACTTTATCAGTGGCAATGTGCTCATAAATTATATGACAAATTATGTAATTTGCCCAAAGTAGAAAGAGGTCTCAACCCCCAAACCCATGGGTTTAACCATGGGTTAATGCAGAGGCTTTACTACCTCTTGTCATTCAGTTCCCACACTACCATGCCATTATTTACTTTTATATCTCAGGTACTGTACTTATATTAGTCAAGTTTATTGTAGGAATATAAATCTCTTTAAGTGTAGGCGCTCTCTTCTGAGCTGTTGCTAAAAGAGAATGGGACAACAGGTGTATTTGTGAACTAGTAGAAAATGAGCATATTTACTGCAGAAGGAAGTTGTGTTTTCTCTGTAAAGTTAGATCACAGAATGAAGACAATACTTAACTATAGTTCTGGAGGGTTGAAACTGAATGGGTATTGGGGTCAATATACATTGTTAACAGTGTTCTATAGATTTCATGATTTGGGAAAGCTGTCTACAAGGCTGGATTAATCTTTTTTTGCTGAGAGTCAAGTTTACTTTGCTCTGCCCCTCTCTAGGTGCAAGTGTAAGACAGTTAACTGATTTTTCAAATTATCAGCTTAATGATAGTTCTCTCTTAGAATTCTTTAAATTTAAGAATAATGAAAAAAAAGTCTGAAGAGTTTTTTTTCATCATCTCTCTTCCCCCTAGTATTATTACTCTCCTCAATGAAATGAAAATGAAACGTAGGTATTTCCTATTTCATAAATCAAAACCAAGTTCTGACACTTTATTGGTGGTTTATGCTGTTTTAGAGGAAAACAGTGATGGCTATTAACTGTTGCGTTATCTGGAAGTCATACTGTAGATTCCAGGAGGTCAAGGCATCTCTGGCAGCTTCTACACATTTATAGGAGAACTGACTGCCTCTCCTCTAACAAAACCTCAATGAAACCTGACTCCTACCAGCTAAGACTTGGCAGTGTCCTCCCGCCTCTTCCAATTCTAGGACTTTCTCTCTTGTGCTTGCCTTGGACTGGAGCTGTGTGCCACCAAGCCAGCTCCAGAATAGGGGCCAGACTTACAGCAGAGCTTCCACTTGCCCCAAATCTACCAGAGAATTAATCCCCTACATTTGACCTCATATTACTTTGTTTTGTTGCTACTATTGTTACTGCTTTATTATTGCTATTGTTGTTGCTTTCTTTTTTATATTTAAGACTTGTGGCTTTTCAAACTAGTTTGAATTTAAGAAACACAGATTCTATCATATAAAAATTATGAACATAGATGTCCTTATATTAACTGTCTTCAGATTTCAGATGTATTCAGCCTTTTGACTTTATCCAAAAACTAAACATTCTGATTGTCCCTTACTTTAAAAGGAAAGAACTTGTTTCCATTTATTTAGATTTGGATATGCTCTATGTTGGGATGAGGGAGCTTTTTGTACTGAAAGAAACTATGTGTTTTCCTACAGATTAGATGTAATCTGCGTTTTCCCTTGGCTGGGTTCGTGCATTCTGTATAAACAAGTTTTCTGTAGCTCCTAAGGAAGCGGCCTGAGGACCATGGCCTCACCTAGTTCTCCCACATGCTCTCCCTGGTGACTGTTGGCACAGACAAGACAGGTCTAGAGCGATGGAGAGAGAAGCTAATAAACAATTCTTGAAAACCTACTATGTGCCAGGCGAATGTGTTTTATATACATTCGCCTTGTTTCATTTAATTTTCATAACAATCCCATCAGGCAATTACCATTTTCCTTATGATATAGATTAAGAGATAGGTATTATAATTAATCTAATCTCACAGAGCCAGAAGCGGCAGAGCCAGGAGAGAAATACAGCTTATTAAAGCTCCACAACCAATGTCTTTCTGTACCCCATACTGTCCATCATGGATTTTGGTAGCCTGGGGACCTGAACTCCACACTAGATTTAAGGTCTAGTTCTTGAATGATGCCTCATGCATTTCCCTTAGGTTCAGGGACAATCAGATTGTCAGAGTAGAAAGAGACTTTGGACTCAAGATTTGCTAACCCATTGGCTTCCTAACCTCTTCCCAGGGCCTTCATTCTGTGAAGTAGGTGCTAGTGTTCCCTGCTCGTGGGTGCTAAGCTTCTCAAGGGCCTGAGTAGGCTTGTTAGTCCTTTTAGAGCCAGCTATGTACCAACTATGCTGTTGTTGTATTGAGGCCTTTGCATTCCTCACTTCAAATCAGTTACTTCTTTATTGTGTTAATACATCACTGGCCACGTGGCTGAGTTGGAATGTGAAGGAAACTAACCCTGTATGATAATAACTTTCAAGTGGCACACGAAATCTATAGGGATATTCAGAGCATTCACTTTTAAAAAATGATTATTCTATAGCCTGCACTGCCTGTTTATTCTTATTTAAAGAATTTCATCATTTTAATAATTTGGTAATATTTTACTGGTAGGTGCAGAGATATGTAAAAAGAAAGTGTTCTTTTCTCCTTTTCTTGTGGATTTAAACAATGTTCAGAATTTTTGTTTGCAGTGTATAAACAATAGCAGTACTCTATCCTTTCTTATTTCTCCTATGTTACAAGCAAGTCATTTCATTTAAATTGACTTTAAGCACATTTCTTTGGGGAAAAAAAAACACAGATTGTTATCTTTAGCAATCCTGATTAGATTTCTACCTCAGACAACAGTTTATTAAGTTTGTGCTGTGAATGTGAGCAGGGTGGTTTGACTTGGAGCAAGCAGTGGCACTCTAGACTTCTTGTTCTCCAGGTACTCAAAGGCCTTTGGAAGAATTTCCTCTCTGGGCATTTAGATCTTCCTTCTTCTCTGTGAGGTGAAAGTGTGTTATGTGGTTTTATTGTTCATTTGCTGAATGCCAATTACATGCCAGCCCATGGGGTTGTCTTGCGTGTGTCATCACATTTCATTTAATTTTCAACACCACCCTATGGAAGAGTTGTAGCATAGGCACATAATATTATCTCCACCTTTCAGATAAAGAGGCATAAGTTCAGGTAGACAAATTTCCCAGTAGTTACACAGCTGTTGCCTAATGATAGCAGGATTCACCAGCTCTGTCTGCCTTTTTCAAATATACCTTTCCTGGGAATGAGCTAACAGAAGAGTTTTAGAAGATGAGACTGGAGAAGTAGCTTTGGATTTCATTCTAATCAAGACACTAAGCTTTGCATTTATTTATTCATCCAGTACCATTTATTGGGCATCTAATGTGTGTCAATCAATCTAGGAATTAGTTACATTACTATGAATAAAAAGCAGAAATCCCTCTCTTCCAGAGGCTTATTCTGGTTATTGGAGGTTTGAGCTGATAAATGACATGATCTGGCTTAGGTTTTACAAAGGTCCTTCTGGCTACAGTGTGGAACGTCACCTGAGGAGAGGTGAGGGCTTCAGCAGCGAGCCCAATTAGGAAGCCACTGCAACAATCCAGACAACAGAAGGTGGTAGCTTGGACTACAGTAGTGGCCGAGATAAGAAGATGGATTCTATATGGACTTAGATGGTAACGCCAATGGAATTGCTGAGGAACTGAATGTGGAAATTGCTTGTCCATGTTTTAACTGCAACTATGGTCAGCCTGCATCCTAAATCTATGCTTTTTAAATTATGTCAACATAGTGAAGTGTAAAGTGAATTCACAACTATATTTAATGTGGTGACAAAATGTTGTTTCTCCTTTTCAGCTCCTTAGCACTGGGCTTAGGAAAGGAGAGTGCCTCCTGGTGCCTGAAAGAGGCAGGAGAGAGCTCTGTGTCCCAGCAGCATTTGTTATCCAGGCTGCAGCTGTCCCCTGGCTCCTTTAAGGGCCACATACCTGGGTGGCAGCACACATATGGTTATACTTGAGATATGTGGGTGTTCATCTCAGAGCCATGCAAAGTCCGTTTTAACTCTTCCCTATGGCTCCCCCATGAGGAGGTGGGATAACGAATCCTCTTAATACGATTTAAAAACAGCTTCACATTTTTCTGCCTTGGTTATTTCTCAGAAATGACATTATCAGTCTGAATCAGAACAGATATTAATTCTTGATCACAAAGTAGCCCTGTTAGCACACTCTTTTGCCATTTTTCAAACTTTAGAAACAGAGCTTCCTTGTGAATAATTTTCACTGAGCAGACATTGTAGCCAAAAATGGTTCTAGATCCACTACATCTGCCATAAACTTTAACAAGTACAGGATACAAATTTGTGTATCACAAGTCAATAAAATTGTCACCAAGTCGATTGTGCAGTAATAAGGTCAATAAATATCATCTTCATTCAATTAATTTTCATTGACCTTAAGGGACTGACCTTCTATTCCCAAGTAGGAAAAGAAATTTACCATGGGGAAGCATAAATGTTCCATCTGCTTTTCAGTTATTACATTACTGAGGACAGCATGGGTATCCAGCTTACTTATATATTTAGACTAAGAAGCAATCTCCTACATGGCTTGTCCAGAAGTAGACCCAAATGACTTAATTTCAGTTAAGATTATTAGAAGACCCCACGATCTGCTTGAGATCCTCCTAACTGCATCTTCTAGATATGGTCTAATGTCTCACTGAACTTGGCCATCCACTGGGTTCTGCTGGGCAGGATATCCAGTTAAAGATGTGATGCGAGGCTCTCACTTCCTGGCCTGTAAACTGCATTTGTCACAACCCCTTTCTCCATTAACCTGACCTGGAGATCAGCCCTGAAGTGGCTCCTTTGCTATGTCAGCCATAACCTGAAGCAGGCAACCACACCAATGAGAGATGAGTGCCTCTGATTTTCTCCTGCCTCAGAGAAATGGATAAGGGACTCTACCATTTTTCTATAAAATTCAAAATCAACAATTAAAAAGTATCGCTTTTTTATTTTATTATTTTCTCAGGGCTGCGTCCAAAAAGGACTCTGCGGCTGGTGCTCTGGACTGCAGAAGAACAAGGTGGAATTGGTGCCTTCCAGTATTATCAGTTACACAAGGTAAAAACCCAGCCATGGATTGCTAAGCATTTGTAAATAATCACTCTCATTGTCCACTTAAGACTTTCAATAATACTTTCTGGTCAACTAGCACTAGCAAACACCCTTGTATGAGCCTTCTCCCTCTAGCTCTGTGAGTGAGAATGCACTGGTAAACTGATGCTGCTGTGGTGAGGAGCTGAGAGCTTTTCTAGATTTTCTTTTTCTACATCACAATCTGTGGCCAAAGAAAAATTCCAACTGCCATGCTGTCATTTTCTTAAAGTCTTCCTAGTTCTGCTGTATTCATGGATGTCAGAGAAATAGTTATAGGCAAACATTTCCTCTCCCCACTGAGGCCACCCCCATACCTCAAAGCCCCCTGTACTCCCAGAAGCCTTGGCATTTGAAAGCTAGGTTCTGAGGCCTTGAGTCAGCCAAGAGCATTTCCATGATGGTGGTGGAAAAGGCAGCAGCCACAGGCCTCTCACCGGGGAATGTGGAGGACAGCTTGGTTTGACACCAGCTATCATTACACAAGTGTGAAGCTTGAAGCAGAGAGTTATTGTGGATGGTCATGATTAGAAATATAAGACTACTTGGAAGAGAGGGGATGGAGACATTAATATCAAGAGCTAACTTTAAGACAGCAAAATATACAAGCTCAGAAATATTCTAGATCAAGCCAAATGTTAGTTCAAAGAGAAACTCCAAAATCAATGGGCGTATGCTGCCAAGCAGTGGTGGTTGGGCAGAGAGGAGCATCTGGTCTACCACTCTGCTGGATGGTTTCCTCTGAATGTCCAGATTAGAAGAAACAGATAGTGTAAGCTTAAATTACCCAAATCAAAGAAAAGTTTCTTTTGTGAATTGTGTGTATGTTATTTTTGACCTTTTTATTTCTTTCAAAGTCAGTGTATATTACTCTATTTCAGTTTGTTAGAGTATAATGAGTTCAAAGTCATAAATTTGGTCATTGAATACAATTATTTACTATACAAAGGACAACTTATGTCCTATGCCCTACTCTGTTACCACTTTAGTTCTTTTGGCCTCAAGTGATCCTGGGGATAACATAATTCAAGACAAATGTCCTGTGTTTGGTAGGTCAGTAACATCATCTTCTATATGTTCTGGTAGACAACAACATCATATAAGGGTTGCTCTAGATTCAGCAACATTCAATCAATGCTTTCTGAGCATGCACTCTGTTCCCTAGACTATGTTATACATTAGCGTTAGCATCAAAAAAAGATCTACCCTAACCTCACAAAGCCTGCATTCTAAAGGACACTGACCATTAACTTCAATTATAAGGTGTTAAGTCTTTCTAAGAAAGATTTTGGAGTTCCTCTTTGAACTAACGTTTCACTTGACCTAGAGTTTCTGAGCTTGTATATTTTGTTGTCTCAACATTTGCTCTTGATATTAATCTCCCCATTCCCCCTTTTCCATGTGGTCTTGTATTTCTAATCAAGATTATCCACAACAACTTTCCTGTTTTAATCTTCACACTTGTGTAATGATAGCTGGTGTCAAGAAGTTTAGAAAGAAAGAAATTTAGTGGTCAGTGTCTTTCTAAGGAAGACTTAACATCTTGTAATTTCTTTTGGGGGAAGAAATTACTTCTAAGCTGAGACCTGAAGACTAAATGGAAGTAAGCTGAGGAAAGGAGAGAGAGGGAGGCGGTGGATACTGTACCTTGGCAGAGGGACCTGTGTGTGCAAAGGCAGGAGATAAGACAGAGCAAAGCACACTGGAGAAATAGAAAGGAATCAGAGTGACTGGTGCATAGAATGCAAGATGCACAGCACTAAGAGGGTGGAACAGAGGTAAACAAAAGCCTAAACAAAAAGAACATATGAATCATGTTTAGAAGTGTAGACTTTATCCTCAAGGCAAGAGAGTAACTTATTTTTTAAGAAGTTTTAAAATTCATACATCTTATACTTTATAAAAAAAAAAACAGAATAGTTAAAAGAACTGTTCTCAACCTCTTTTATTTTCTGTAATATACTCCAAGAAAACATTTGGATTTTAATTATAATTGATCTGGCTAAAAATTTTTATCACCACTGAAATTTCTAGGATGTGAAATAAGAAGGTTTATTTCTCTATATCGTGAGTTTCACTGTAGCCTATTAAAGCACATGGATGAAGTTGGAAATGCCTAAAATTCTGAGGTTGGCACAAATACACACACTCAAACGACATGCAGTCACATAAACAGAACTGGTTTATCTTCACAGCATCCAGGCTGCCTTCATACAAATGTATGTATGTATGGCTAGTCTGCATTGCATTTTCAGAGAGAGAAAGGAGAAATTCCAGAAAGGGAAACCACAGGCTTTGTGTTTTATGGTAACTCTTTATCTCACCTTTAAAAAGACATTGTGCATGTTTTACATGATACAGCCAATTTCGAAGGACTTATTCTGGATTCTTCTGATTAGCTTATTGATATTGACATTATCAAGAATATAATCATTTCAGAGGTGGCTGAGTTTAACTTAAAAGTTAATATAATAAGTAAGCCACAAACCACAGGGGTAAATTAGATTGTCTTTAGACTTCTCTGTGGCATTATTGAATGCCAGCAGACAGTCCAACAATATCCAGTTCACTCCAGTCACAACAGAGAGATCATCTATTCCAAATAAGGTTATACTAACTGCTGAAACAAATAAGCTGTCAAATTTCAGTGACCTAATATAACCCAGAAATATATTCCTCGCTCACTTAACATCCAATCTACAGTAGGTCTCTGCTTTATGGGTATTCAGGGATCCAAGCTGACATACCCTTTAGCAATATGGCTTTTAATATGCCTTTGAGTATTGACATCCAGCTGGCAGGCAGGGGTGAAGTAGGAGGTTTTTATGGGACAGTTCTGGAAGTGGTTGATATCATTTCTACTCACACTCCATTGGCAAGAGCTAGTCATGTAGTCCAACTTTGTGAGAGGTGAGGGCATACAGGCACTGGCTGAGCAGCCACTTCCCAACAGCAGCTCTGCACTGTAGGCTGGGAGCGTTCTATAGATACATTCTCTATCTTTGGCAGAAAGCTGACCCACTCTAGGATCTTCCTCTCACTTTGTTCTGGCTTTCCAAACACTTTAGCTGCACAAGAGGCCAACTGACCTGAGGTCTTCATCTCCCATGGTGCTCAAAGTGAGATCAGCTCTGTGAGCTGCCTAAAAGCACTCACCACCACCACTACCAGGATGCCTTTGTCTAGCAACACACAAAAAGAAAAGAAAAAGGAGTCACAGTCTTTGACCAGAAGGACCTTGCGTTTTACCTCAAAAATAGCTTTAAACTCATACATAAGAAAGTTAGTTTAACAAACCATATATAATGAAGTTTTAAATAATGTACTAAAAGTAGCTTGTGTATGGAGTATGCTGTCATTGACAAAGTGCCAAATGATGTAGGAACTGAACAGAGTAAATGGAAAGGATTTAGAAAAGGGAGAAATCACCATGCCATGGCAGTCATGAGGAAGGAGGCAACACCTAATCCTTGCAAAGAAAGTGGATTTCAGCGAGTGATCAAGAGGGGAGAGAAGGGACAGCTGCTCCCCTTCAGATGGATGATAATGGAGTCTCAAGGTCTGCCTTTGGCATTGGTGTGGGTGATACCAAATAGGATCAGAACTTTTATTGGGGGGGATCTATTTTAGGGATTATAGAAATAAAAATATGAACTTTTAAAATGACTCTGCTAGCATTTTTATGATACAGTTATGATTATTAGAGATCTATGTCAGGAATCAGAAAATTATGGCTGATGGGCCAAATCCAGCCTGCCACTTGTTTATGTACAGACTTCAAGCTAAGAAGTTTTTAATATGTTTAGTTGATTATGCTACAGTGAATGTATGTGGTCTACAAAACTTAAAATATTAACTATCTGAATCTTTACAGAAAAGGTTTACCTACTCCTGGTCTATATGAAAAAAGTCTTATCTTCACACTATTTGTATACAATAATCTCTTTATAGTTTTATATGACCTAAAATATACCTTTGTTAATTTTGTTTGGAGCCTAATATTATCCAATGTAAGTATCCTGCAGGAAGATAATATTGTAATGATAGAAACTTGCATGCACAATCCTTTCTTTGCAGTCTTATCTGGCAGAGTTTAATAATAAAGTTGGCTAAGCCTACATGGCACTAGCTATGGAGAAACAATATGTAGATTAATATTTCTTCTTTTTGTTTTTCTGAATGTATTATTTCTTCCCTCTCAGAAAACCTTTTCGACAACAAAAATTCTACAAAAGCTAATTAATGTTTGTGGAATAATGAATTATTAATATTCCTTATTCTTATTCCTTATCCTTTTCTCAGTAAATATATCTTTGTTTACACTTTACTCTAATATAGGCAGAAAATATAAAATAGTGATTTTAAATTATGTGGTAAAATTTATTGCTGAACTAATTTTCAAAATTGTATTTAGATGAATAGATACTTTTACTTCATAATTGTGCTTTCTTATGACACATCAGCTCAATTATTATAATAAGTGCTAGAACTTACTAAATTCACTAATAATTTATTAAATTTGAAATATATAAGGCGATTTGTAGCTTGTGTATGCATTTTGAAATTCATGTGCAACTTTATTATAATGTCTAAAACATTTCAAAGAAACAAACTTTGGCTCAAAAATGGTCTAGAAGCATTTTAGTAGCAGTTACTAAGTAAATAACTCAAGAAGGAAGTATTGAATATTTCACTATGTTACTATTTACTAGAATAGAAATCATTCCTGAGATCCATCCAGCATGCCTCTAATAGTTCATAGCAGAAAGTCCCATGAAAGATTTATCTTCTTTAAAAAAATGTAAATTCACATGTTTTGATAAGTTTTAAGATTTCCTATCCTTGTTTTAAAGTCCTTTTCATCATCTCTTTGACTTTCTTCTCATTAGCACATAAGCTTGAGAACTACTTATATGAATAGTATATTGTTTGTGCTTTCTTTAGAAGCTTCTTTTAGAAGTTACTCA